TTCTATGCTAGTGTCTTCTGCATTTGTTCTGGGTGGGCTTGGGGCCTGAGAATGCATTTTCTTCATTCTCTTTGTAATTTTCTACAGCACTGTCTTCTGACTTTTGGTGTAGAGATTAGAGTTATTACCTTAGCACCAGGTCTGGATCTTCTAAGTTCAAACTCATCCAAGTGGGTGTGACTTGGGTCTGGTTGCTGTGCTCCACTTCTTCCTCTTGCAGCCCTTGGAGTTGAACCCTCAGTGCCACTCTGGCAAGATGTTCTGCTCCTAAATCAGCTGAGAGGGTCTTGCCTCTAGCCTCTTTGCAGGGAGTTCTGCTGCAGGTTCCACAACGGGCCTGGGCTCTAGGTCGAATGAGCATCTGGAGGGCCTGGGCCGTCTCACTCACATACCAGGCCTGGGCTCTGGATTGAATGAGGATCCGGTGGGCCCCGGGTGGTCTCACTCACATGCGGGGCCTGTGTTCTGGCTCAAATCGGTTTTTATTTTATCTTACTATCCAATTTGTCAAGTACAATACTACTGCAGCTGATTTGCTTGTTATTTCTCTATAGTTGTTATTTCTCTATAATCTGACAATCAGATTATCTTCTGTGATGTTAGCAATACTATATTAAATTCCTGGAGAACTCAGGGTTCAGCTAAATACAATGCATTCTCCCCTCCCAAACTAAGCAAAGTGGCTTGATCTTGGGGCTAAAGCCAAAGACTATAGCTGTCCAAATCCAAAGTACAACACTGAACAGGGGCTGAAGTGATCTCTATTCTAGCTGCAAAGTGTCTACCCAATAAGAATCCACAAAACTAAGTGCAACAACAACAATTGAAACATGAGATGACAGGTGATAAAATACCTCCAAAATCTCCACTTTAGCAAATGATTGGAATCCATAAAAAAGTTTCAGGAAGAAATCCACATGATTAAAAATTGCACTGAAAGTATGTGTAGTATAAGTGGCCAATATGAGGACAGAATTTCAGAACTAGAAGACAATGATGCCCTCAAGACCCACTGCTCAGACACCTTAAAATCAACTGCCGTGAGATGAAGCAAAGCAGACTAATGTTAGAATAATTGTAATGAGCGAAAAATCAGAAATCATGAACAGCATAAAACCTGCTCACAGAAATAATGGCAGGAAACTTTCCAATTTCAAAGAAAGAAAGAAATATACAGCTAAGTGAGGCATACCAAACCCCAAATGGTCACCACCAGGAGAAAACTTTTCAGGGTCATGTTAAATTCAAAGTATCAGAAGTCCATTATAGGAACAAAAACATTGAAAGCTATTAAGGAAAGGCACCAAATGATACATAAAGGTAAATCCGCTAGAATCACAGCAGACTTGTCAACACAAAACTTAAAGATCATTTAAAGAGCTTAAAATGACATGTTTCTCTCTTTTATATGTAGTTGGTTGTTACAGGGTCTCACTACGCAGCTCAGACTCATAGTGATCCTCCTGCTTTCAGCTCCGTCAGTGCTGGGATTACAAGCTGCATAGTGAGATTCTGCACCAAATACATAAGTAAGAAAGAAAGAAAGAAGTAATCCATCAATACACAATATGCAAGAAATACATTAAACTCAAACATAAATTCACAGGTTAAAAGTCAAAGGATGGAAAACAATATTCCAGACAAGAATCTGGAAAAAGCAGCATTAGCTATCCTAATTTCAGACAAAGTGAATTTTAAGCCAAAATTGATCAGATGGGCCGGGGAGATAGCTGGGTAGATTAAGCGCTTGCCTGGCAGGCACAAGGGCCTGAGTTCAATCCCCAGTTCTGGAAAAAAAAAAAAAAAAAAAAATTGATCAGAACAGACAAAGGTCACTGCGCATTAGTGAAGGGAACAATTCAATAGGAAAAGATAAGAATTATAAACATATATGCACCTAATAGCTGCATAATCAACTTCATAAAACAAACATAACAAATACATATGAAAAAGCAGATAAACAACAATGCAGTCGAAATGGGGGACCACAACACTTCACTGCTACAAATGGAAAGATTAACTAGGTGAAAAAAATTAACAAAATAATACCCATAGTGGGCCAGGGAGATAGCTCAGTGACTGAAGCATCTGCGTGGCAAACACAAGGTCCTGAGTTCAATCCCTAGTATCAAAAAGAAAAAAAGAAATAGCCAGAGTTTGACCCATTCTTTGAATAAATGGACTCAATAGATTGCTACAGAGTATTCCATCCAACAGCCACAGGATACACATTCTTCTCACTAGCATTGAGACTTTAGAGACCACAAGTCCATAAGGCATGCTTAAGTAAGTATAAACAAATGGAAATTATCACATGCATAAAATCAGAACATATACAATGAAACTAAAAATCAATAGCAAACCACAGAAACTAAACAAACACAAGGCAATTAAATACTACCCTGGAACAGTCAATGAATTACAAAAGAAGTTTGTAGCTGTGAATTCCCACATCAGAAAAAGAGTGAGCTCAAATAAATAACTTAAAGATCCACCTCAAGGTCCTAGAAAAACAAGAACAATCTAAATCCAAAGGTAGTATGAGGAAGGAAGTTACGACAATTGCAGCAGCAGCCAAGGTTTGATCCCTAGTGTGCCGTGCCAACCCCATCCCCAGGGCACACTGAGATGGCTACTGAGCCTGGGCATGGTGGCGCACGCCTGTAATCCCAGTGCTTGGGAGGCTGACAACAGAAGGATCACTACAAGTCTAATCTACATAGTGAGACCCTGTAGAGCCTGTAGACCCTGTGTTACTACCTAAACTAAATACCAACTAGGATATAAAGTCAACACTCAAAAATGATGAATGCAATAACATTCCTGTACACCAATAATAAACTCACTGGAAAAGGAATTAGGGAAACAATACCGTTCACAATAACATCAATAAAAATGAACTACTACTAATTAACCTAACAAAGGACATGAAACACCTCTATAATGAAAACGGCAGTCCTCTGAAAAAAGAAATGAAAGAGAACATCTGAAAATGAAAAGATATCCCCTGTTCCTGGGTAGGCAGAACCAATATACTCCAAATGGCTGTACTTTCAAAACTAGTATACAGATTTAATGCCATCTCAATTAAAATACCAACAGCATTCCTCACAGGATTAGAGATAGCAATCCTAAAGTCCATAGACTCAGAGATCTAGAACAGCAAATCAAGCAGGCTCAGGGCTCCTTTAGAGAGACTAAGCCTGTGAGACCTCCAAAGCCGTATGAGTGCAGTCTTCCTGTTCTTTCTTTGGGCTCCAACTGCTAACATACAGCATGTGGCGCCTCAAAGTGGGGCACAGAAGATGACCAGCGACGTAAGCACAGAGGACACAAGCAGAAGTTAATCCTAAGAGCCAATATCCTCCCCATCCTTCCGAAGTTTAAATGGCAGGTCTCCTGAGCAGAAAATACTTCCGTGGTCTCGCTGCGCAGCTTGGACTCATTGGGATCCTCCTATCTCAGGCGCCCTGACACTGAGAATACAAGGGTGCGCCAACTTAGAAGGCTGAGCTACCTCCCCAACCCTCATTTTTTAATAAGACACTTGAAGTCCCTTCTTGCAGGGCACCAAACAACTAGGGATTGTTATTTTTCAGGCGACCTAAGTTTTAATTACTTCTCCTCCTGCAGCGATGACTTCCTAGAGCTACACTCCCTAATAATGTTCAGCTCCCAGCTTGTGCCATCCTTTGAGCTTTCTGGTCCTTAAAATACAAGGAAAGACACCTATGAGATGTATTTTATTTTAAGTCAAATTCTAACTTTCATTAAAATATGGGGAAAAATTTTTTAAATAGAATAGCAAAACAGTTTTGGGCAACAAGGGTAAGGCAGGGATTATCACCATTCTGGGCTTCAAATTAAGCTACAAAGCTGTAGTAATTAAAAGCAGCATGGTACTGCCAAAAAAGGACACCTTCAGATCCACAGAACAGGATAGGGGACGAGGAACAACTCCAAGCACACACGGTCACCTTATCCCTGACAGGGGTCCTAGGACTTTTGCTGAGGAGAGACAGCCTCTTTATCAGATGGTGCTGGAAATCTAACTCCCACATGCTGACGATTGAACCTAGACCTATATCTCTTAGCGTACATTAAACTAAAATCAAAATAGATCAAAGATATAAATATTAAAACAGAAACACAATCTGCTGGAAGATAAACCTGGTAAAAATCTTGAAGATGTAGGCAGAGGCAAAAACTCTCTGAACAGAACTTCAGTTGAATAAGAAATAATACCAAGAATCAAAAAATGGAATCACATCAAATTAAAAAGCTTTTGCACCACGAAGAACCAACAGCAAAGATAAGCTATAGAAAAAAAATTGCCAACTACTCCTCAGAAAAGTATAAATATTTAGAATTTATAAAGAACTCAGTGGGGCTAGCACCTGCCTGGCAAGTACAAGTTCAATCCCAAGTACCACATGTCATGCCAGGCCAGTGCACCAGGCCAGCCACAGTATGTAGCAAGATGCTGTACCAAGTAAATAAATAAATAAATTTTTTTAAAAATTTTAAAAAGAACTCAAAAGGCTGGGTAGCTCTGCAGTATAAGTACCTTCCTGGCAAGCACAAGATCCTGAGTTCAATCCTCAGTACAAAAATAAAAAACAAAAAACCAACTAAAAATATGAGAGCCTTCTGATCTAAAGACCCATTTAAAAAAAAAAGCAGGGGACATCTGAAAGGAATCCACATTTTTCAAATGAGGAAATACAAATAACTCATAAATACATGAAAACAAAGTTCAAGACTTCTGGTCATTCAAGAAATGCACATTAAAACACTGAGATTTTTATCTCACCCCAGAAGGAATGGCCATGGTCAAAGAATCAAACAATGACAAGGCTGGAGAAGTTGGGGGCGGCACAGCACACCCAGCTTTATTGTCAGGGGAGTGTAAACCTGTGGAGCCACCGTGGCTCTCAGTGCGGAGCTGTGCAGAAAACTAAAAATAGAAATTCCATTTCACCAAACTATTTCCCTTCTAGGTATCTTCCAAGAGAGTGGAAGGCATCACATCACAGTGATAGCGGATACGGGTTTACAGCCGCACGGTGAGTAATAGCTACATCTTGGAAGGAGCCTCTGGCTCTATCAACAGATGAACGGATAAGGAAGAGTGCTATTTAGATGAATGAAGTATCGCTCTGCCAGAAAGAATTGATCATTTGTGAAAAATGGGTGCACCTCAAAGCTGTAATGTTAGGGGAAAGAAATCAGACCGCAGCTTAAACTTCACGTGGTCTCTCTTATATGAAAGACTCGAAATATAAATAAAGGGGCAAAATAAAAGAAAGACACCACGAGGAAAAGAGAGAAAACAAATGACTGAAATCGGGCATGGCCAATGTGTCTAAAAGTATACCTTGATTTAGTATAAACGTCTTAGTGTTTTATGTGTTTTGGGCCTGTTAGTTTGGCTACTAATCTGGGTTTATGATAGTTAACTTGATAAGGACTTTAAAAATAAATAAATAGATCAGATACTGGCAAAAAGAAAGAGAAAAAAAATAAATTTAAAAAAAGAAAGAAGAAAGTTTTAAGCCAGGGTATCGGGAGGGGACAGACAGGTTCTGTGAACACACCAGTTCCTTGCAGGAGTGTGACCATGATGCACTGCAAACATGTACTAATAAAGATTTAAACTTACAAAACAAAGCAGATGATCAAGCAGTAACTGATCTAGACAAGCCAAGGAATCTACAGCCTACCCGAGCTGAGGGGGAAGCCTGGGGCAAGCCTGTCTGTGCTGCAGAATCGCAGAAAGACTCCTGGATTAAAGGACACTAGGCAGTTCTGAAACCAGGGAACAAAGGTGAGGCTGAGGCTGACGACCTGAAGCCAAACTCCAAGCCCCGTAGCATTGCGCAGGTGCAGACTGTGCGGCCAGCCCATACCCTCTTTGGCACAGGTCAGCCTTTGACGACAAATGCAGTGGTTTGTACCTGTGATCGCCACATTTGTGGGCTGTCCTTCAACCAGGAGAGCGGAATTGACCAAGGGCCCCAACTGATCCATCCTGACGCCCATGCCAGCCAGACAACAGCTACTTGGAAGACCCAGAGCCAACAGGAAAAGGCGGAAAAACAGAACGATATAAAGAAAAACCTCGGCTGTGTGACCCTCAAAGCAACCCATCAAGGGCTGAGGACACAGCTCAGCAGCGTAAGCGCCTGCCTGGCCAGCGCAAGGTCCACAGTTGGATCCCCAGGACCAAAAATTAATTGATTGATTGGATTGATTGATTAATTAATTAAAACACAAGCAACTGGTCAAGACAAGTGTAGAAGGAATGGCCACAAAAAGACAAATTGACAAAAAAAAAATCTACTCTCTTTGAATGTTAAGAAGGTTAAGTTTGTATTTGTACTCTGAAAGAGAAAGAATTGGTGAGAAATGACATAGAAAACTAAACAAAATCCTAACTTTTAATGATAGCCAAAACAAAAATTTGAATGATAATCAATATTTATATTACACTAGATGATAGAAGCCAAAAATTCATGAAGTCAGAATAACAAAAATGGTAAATATTAATCTAACCAAAAACATGCCTTAGTATTTTAGTAGACTAGGAGAAAGGGAAGTGTGGAGATGAACAGAGAGTGAAAGAGAAACGGAGGTTAGCACGTCATATATAAAGTTTAATTTAAATAGCAAGAATGTCATTGAGAAATATGAAGCCAAACACCAACAGAACAAGCTAAAAGAATTAAGAATTGTTTCTTCTCAAGACAAGAAAAAAGGGAAATATTACTAATCATTTCATAATAAAGTATTTGGAGGGCCAGTGAGATAGCTCAGTGGACTAAGCGCTTGCTTAGGTAAGTGCAGAGGCCAGGATTTGATCCTTGCATGCCATGCCAGCCCCACCCCAAGCATGCTGAGCTAGCAATGGAGTTCGGGTGTGGTGGTGCATGCCTATAATCCCAGCACTAGAGAGGCAGAAAACAGGAGGATCACTACAAGTCTGAGCTGCATAGTGAGACCCTGCAAAATAAATAAATAAAATAAAGTATTTGGAAGTGGGCTGGGGAGATGGCTGAGCGGTCTAAGTGTCTGCCTGGCAAGCGCAAGGACCCAGATTCGATCATATGCCAGAACCTCAGGCACGCCGTGTAGGCTACAGGTGGTGCATGCCTGTAATCCCGTGCTGAAGAAGCTACAACAGGAGGATCCCAGGGCCAGGAAGATGGCTCAGTAGAACAATCACTTGCCTGGCAAGCCTAAAGGCCTGAGTTCAATCCCCGGTTCTGCAAAAAAAAATTAAATTAAATTAAATAAATAAATAAAACAGGAGAATCCCTATGAGTCCAAACTGTGTTGCAAGACCCTGTATCAAATTAAATAAATAAATAAATAATAAAAAGAATGATGAAATTATAAAATATTAAATTCATGTCTTGAAGTCAAACACAGTTAAGCACAATACTCATATTTCTTTTGGGATGTCATTTCTACTTACAAAATTTTATTTTACATACCAATTACCACCAGAAATGTTCAAAACAGTGAAATAGTGGGTTTTAAATATATGTGTATATATAATCACTAGGGATTAGAACAAGCACTATTACAAAGTCTATTGCATCAACACTGAAGGAGGGCTATTTTATTCTTGGCTTGAGAAGAAACAAAGAGTAAATGAGACTTTTAAAAGAAGTATTAAAATCACTGGCTTATAGGAAGCAGATACCATATTTCTAAAATTGACTAGATCTACCCTAATGCCAAATATTCCGTTGCTATTTATTTAGATTGCTTCCCAAATGTATACACACCCTGAGTCGAAGCTTTCAAGTTGCTGCTTGCCAACTGCATTAAAAAGGCAAAAATATCATCAAAGATGCAGAGATGCTATCAGAGCACTACGAGGAAAGCCTTGGAAGGTGTGCGTGGCTCGGAAGCCAAGAAAACCTTTCATCCAAATAAGTCCCGGGCCAAGTCTCATTGTGAGTGGGAGAGAGTGAGATCAGCCTCGTCCCTGGAGCCAACTCATTTCTTCCAGCCCATTTCCATGGCCAACCCGCCAGAAATTGAGAGATTTCAATGACAGCATTAGTTTTTCATTTTTAGTTGATTTTAAAAGTCAGGTATAAACAAAGTGCAGTCTGCTCCAGGAAATGTGTGCTAACATGTCCTGTATAATATCTCTGTGACACGGATCGTCTCTATCAAAGCAATCCTTAATAGTTCTTGTAACGTGTATATAATCCACATAACTTCACCCTTCAGCAC